AGTAGGCCCGGCGAGTAACCCAGCCACTCCACGTTGAGCCGGGCCTTTCCGCGCAGCATAGTCCTCTCGGGCGGGTGGCGGCTTGACCGCCCCCTGAGCTGCAATTAGCACCTCTGGTCTCAGTCACGGAGCTTCGGGATCTGGGCAACTGGTGTAGATAGAGCTGCGAGGAAGGACGACCCGGCAGATGGCTACGGTGCTAGGCAACCGAGCAGTTTCTGACAACAACAACAGAAAAACGCAGTGCACATTATTCCGCCAGCCCTGGTGCAAGCGCCTCCTTAATGACTGGAAGTCCAGCTGTGGCAAGCGGGAGGAGTTAGTTTACCACTCACCGGAGTCCATATAACTAGAGACCTGCCAGTTGAAAGAGCCCTTGCTGAGAGTGACTGGTCCAGGCCAGTAGCGATTGACCCTAACCCCACTTAAAAGCATATGCAGCTGCTCAAAAAGCCACCAATGAGACAAAAGGGACTCAAATAGTAAGGACAGATGGTCCTCCAGCACATACAACCCAAGAGAGGTATAAATGAGAAGGGTGTGTGAGCCCAGGGTCATGCTTGACAAAATTAGGTTGCCACTGGCTGCTAACAAGAGCACAGCCCTTACATGGTCAACGCCTGGAAAGGACCGCTGACCACACAGCTATTTTCTGCACCACAGGAATACAAAGATCACATTTGATACCATGACTAAACAGCAATTTAGGGTGCTGGAGAGGGTAGTGTACTGAACAGCAGCAAGCCCAGGTTTTGGTTTAAATTTAATAATCCTCGTGGGCCGGGGATTTAGCTCAGTGGTACCACTGCCTGCCTCGCAAGTGCAAGGTCCTGAGTTCGTATTCCTGATACCAAAAAAGCTCTTAGTGTAAGAGCTTGAGAGAGAATCTAGCTTGGAGGTTTGCAAACTGGTCAGCCAATCGATACATATACCTTGGCACCTTTTTTTCATACAACCCTTGAGCTAAAAATTGGCTTTCCATTTTTTCAGTGGTTGAAAAAAAAATCAAAACACAACACATGAAAGTCATGGCATTCAAATATCAGTGCTAATAAAAAAATATCAGTGCTTATAAATAAAATAAGCTTATATTGCAACTGAGCCATGTTCATTCATTTGTATTGTTTACAACTGCAGTGTTGAGTATTTGTGACACAGATCATATGTTTTAGAAAGCCTAAAATAGTTACTATCTGGCCCTTTATAGGGAAAAGTTTGCAAAACCCTGTCCTAACTAATCACCCCACAATTAGGTCTTAAACTCCTAGGGATCCACAAATTTTTTTTTTGTTTGTTTGTTTTGTTTTTTGAGACAGGGTATCACTATGTAGTTGAGACTGATCTGGAACTCACTGTGTAGCCCAGGCTGGTCTCGAACTCACAGCGATCCTCCTGCCTCAGCCTCCCTAGTGCTGGGATTACAGGCGTGTGCCACCATGCCCGGCTAAGGGATCCACAAATATTAATGGTGGTTTTGAGAACAATTTCCAATATATTTTAAAACCTAACAAATGTATTTATTTGCTGCAGGACATCAAAAACTACTTAAAATATCACTTTTCTTTGATTTGAAACACTAATTATATCGCATTGATGAGTTAATCCTAGTTAACTCAAGAGAAAATGTATAAATTATTACTAAACTATAATAAGCAATAGTATGCTGAGTAGAACTTTTAAAATATGGAATTAACAAAAGAGGAAGGATTATGCATTCCCAATGCATAGAATAGGGTCTGGTATAGTAGACACCGAATAAACATTTGTTACATGAATTAACATCATCCATCAGGGCTCTTGGTAATGAAAACAGTGGGAACTACCACTGCGGGCTGTCATAAAAAAGCATCAGAAACTATGTAGCTTACCCAACAGCAGTCAATCACCTCTCGTTTTGGACACTAGATGTCTGAGACTAAGGTGTTGGTCAGGTGAGTTGCTTCTGAGAGCTTTGAGGGAAGTCATTGTTCCATGCCTCTCTCCCTTAGCTTCTAGTGGTTAGCTGGCACTCTTTGGCATTCCTACATCTGTGTCTGTGTCCAAATTTCTCCTTGTCATAAGGACACTCATCATTCTGCATTAGGGGGCCACCCTGCTTCCTTATGACATTGTAACTAATCACACTTGTGACAACACTATTTCCAAATAGGGTCACACCTGAGGTATTCACATGAATGGGGGGATACAATTCCATCTATAACCACATTGTAAACTCCCTGCACAAATGAGGAAACCATGGACCAAAGAGGGCAAGGGGTCTCCAGGAGTATTGCACCTATCTAGTGAGGCCTAGCTTGACTCCTGACTCCCAGGTGGCCATTTTTGCACACTTGGATTAGTACACTGTGTGGCGGTTGTGTGATAACTCACCCAGAAGCCATTCACACAGGACAAAATGCTCACTTAATCTAATTTACATATTTTGTTCTTATAAAATAAATCTTCCATACCTTTTCTTGGTGATGTATAACACTGTGCCAACATGTACAGTGAGCTCACTGAGGTGGACAAAGAACTTTCCGAATAAACTCAGAAGCTCTAAGTGAAGGAAAGTATTTAGCCAGCATTCTGCCCTCAACAACAAAGCCCTGGAACCTCCCACCTGAAGTGGATGCTAAAGAATTAGAAGCAAGTGGAGCTCAAACAGACCGTTGCCATGGGAATGCAACGGCAAGTAGTGAGCTATAGTAGCACTTCTGTTAGTTCTCTGAGAATCAGAGGACAATTCTGAAAAAGCCCCAGTCTGATACCTTGCTGTTAGCTGAGAAAGCTGACAGCTAAGAACGGAAGGTAACTTGCCCCCAGTATCTTGGGTCAGTGATAGGATTTGAGAATTTTTAGTCTCCGACTCAGTCTAGTGTTTTCTGCACTATCATGCTGTAAGCTTCTGTACTATTAACCCATCAACACAGAAAGTATGCTCCCCAAGTTGGGTTTTGTGTTTTGGAAGCAACCTTCGCATTTGCTTTACAAACACAAAACCACATTCCCCCACAGTTGCCTTGTGGGCCATGGCTGTGGGGTTGGGTGGAACAGCCATAGTTAAACACCAACAGCACTTTCTGAAGCCTGACCTTCCACCAGCGTGGTATTTTCCAAACTGGGACATACAGAAAAGGGAAGTAAGCTCCACCACACCATCCACAAAGCTCGTACTAAAAGGAGGCCCCCACACACACACACACACACACGTGCACGTGGGTGTTGGGGGACTCTGGCTTCATTGTAATATGGAATGTCAAGTCTTCTTTTCTAAAAATATAAACTCTGCTCCCTGGTGAAAAAATATAATTCCAATTCTAAAAAAAAGCAATTAAGGGTTATTATACATGGTAAAAACCTCTGCTGTCAGGATCGCATGTGCCTTCTGCTTCACTTTACAGAGGCAGTTTCCAATGCCTAGAATGTACACCATCCCCATTTCGTAGGTGGAAAAGTAAAAGAAAATATCAGTTTGATGAACTCACTCACAACTTCTTTTTCACTTGAGTGTCAATTCATTGCCCTAAATTTGTATGAATCTTTCTCTACCAGCTTTGTCTGCCAGAGAGCTAAGCAGGGCACAGACAAACAGGGCCAGGAAATGCTCAGGGTCAGTGGATGGCAACTGTCCTTACCTACCTGACTCTGCACTGCCTGGGAAAGAGAAAGTAGTCACTGGGGAGACATGAAAGGGGCCTCCCTGTCTGCCCAGCATGGAAAGGGATCAGCCTAGCACCCAGCATCCCTTGCTATACCAGGATTTGATACGAGGAGAAAAAGCCAGCCCACAAGGTGTGGCAGGGCAACCAGCTGCCAACCTCAAGCTGAAGGATCCTGAACCAAGTACTTTCCAGATGGGCTCCCGGCCACCGCCACCGCACTCACAGTGCCTGCCTCAAAGCAGGAGCCTGGCATGAAATCGCCTTCTCCAGCCCCGCCCCCGACCGGTGGAGGTGACACACTCCTTGCCCATCCCGACCTGCACTTGCACTTAACTGTTGAATGAAATAAATACTTGTGATGAATGAATGAAAAGGATCTCAACGAACATCCAGTGTTTGCAACATCACAAAGGGAAACAGCTATAATTTTCTTTTTCTTTTTTTTTGAGACAGGGTCTCACTATGTAGTTGAGACTGACCTGGAACTCACTATGTAGCCCAGGCTGGTCTCGAACTCACAGTGATCCTCCTGCCTCAGCCTCTCAAGTGCTGGGATCACAGGTGTGCACCACCACACCCAGCTTTTAAACAGCTATTAATTTTGATTCAGGTTTTGTTGCTATTCTTGTTCTCTGGTTTTACTTTTTCCCATTTTGGGTTGAAAAGATAGAAATACCAGATAAAGGAAAAATGCAGGCGAGGCAGGAAAAAGAAACCCAGGAGAAGCAAGAAAAGAAAGAGCAGGTTTAGGGCAGAGCCAATAAAAGCCAGGGGGTGTCACTCAGGTATTGGAACCCTTGCCCTGGTTTCCTTCTCCAGTACCTCGAGGCAAGGGACAAAGAAAGCACTCCAAGTCCAGGCGTGTGGACAATGACTCTTGGGCTGCCCAGCCCAGGCTGCTCTTTTGGCTCATGACTTGGGAAGCACAGATTCCCTTCCAAGAAGGGCGAGGTGAAGGGGATGTGCACACCTGTATGTGAGTATGCATGCCCGCGTGTGAGTGTGCTTCGTGAAGCCTGTGAGAGTATGAGTGACTGCGTACATGCAAATGCCTGCACACACATAAATTTCTGTACACTGTCGAAAGAAATATAATGAAAAACAAAATTGCCTCCTATCCCAGAATGCTCCTCCATGAAAGCGGAAGAAAATTTGTATCAAATAACCATTAAACC